GGGACACCGAGCGGGACGCGCACGCTTATCGAACGTTCGTCTCGCTATGAATAGGACGGCCTCTTGGGGGTCCCCTGAGCCGCCGGCTCACAGTGCCGCCACACCACGGCGGCGGCGGCGGCGGCGGCGGCGGCGGCGGCCCCCCTCCGTGCGCGCACTTCCTCTCTTGTGTGTGGCGGGGGCGCGGTGGGCGCAGGGGTGGTATGGGACCGCCGCCGCTGACTTAGAGGGTCGTCCCGTGGAAGAGCCCTGCCTGCAGGGAGTTACTCCGCTGGGGCTTCTTCTACGGCTCCGGAGGGCGCTTTGGGAGTGCCTTTGGAGAATGCCCGGCACGCCCTTGAGTGCGCGCTTTGGGGCGATGGCGGCGAAGGTGGTGAGAGGAGGTACCTGGAGGGAGCCGCAGCCGCGGGAAGGGAACGCCATCGCGATGTTTCAGAAACGAGCCACCTGGATGATGTCGTGCACGACCCTAGAGGGGGACGTTTTGTACCCGCCCCTCGGGTCTCTCTCTCCCCCCCCCCTCTCCCTCCCCCTTCCCTCCGCTCAGATTGCAGTGCGCCGGTCGCTATTGACATTGCGGGAGTGACCTCTGGCTTGCGGGTGGCCCCGGTGGCCCCGGTCCCGCGCGCCGTGGAGTCGAGTGGTCCGTGCAATCAATATCCAACGCGGCCCGGGGTTCGGCGAGGGCAGGGCTAGGGCTATGGGCTATGGAGGCGGGCCTGAAGGCGAACCCATAGGTACCACCTCCAGACTCGCTCAGAGATGCTTCGGTACCGAGAGTCGGGCCCGGTTGCGACGACGGGGGAGTATGTGTCAGGTCTTCACTTCACTCGACGTGAGGTTTGCTTTTAATTTCGTGTCTGGGGACTTTGAATAGTTTGAATTGCATATACACCCAGGAAAGCATGTTCTTGACCTCTGATTTCTGAAGAACATGTGCATCAGGGCAATGCAATTTTCATTTGCACCAACACTGGAAAAACAAAGGGGCTATATAGCACCCTTTTTAGGGTGCTATTGAATCTTTAGGGTTGCTACTGCACTAGTGCCTTTGAAGAGGCACGATTTGTGCCAAAAATAGCACCTTTGGGGAGCAGTAGCACCTTTCTAGAGGCACTATTTCACTGACGCCTTTAAAAGGCATTAGACAGCACCTTTGTTTTTCCAGTGAATGGAATTTGCATCGGGACAAGACAATGTTCTCGGTTCAGCCGAGCACAATAACTTCAACCCAAGAACACGCTCTTTTGGGTGTATCCGAGAGAAAGGGAGAGAGCCGCTGCTGAAACAAGCGCCTGCCCGTGTCGTTCTGCACGGCCGGCTTCCGCTTCCGTCCAACTGCTTTCCGTTTTTTAGTATCTCGTTTTCATTTTCATCGCCCTCCCTTTAATATAAAATAAAAAAGAACGGAAGGAAGCAAATAATAAAAACTTGGAGTGCGGCATTTCGGGGGTGGTGGGGGGTCTGGGAGGCGGCTGGCACCGCTGCTGCTGGCTTTTTGCCGAGCAGTGGACTGGCTTTTGCGGGGGTGGTCCCCTCCGCTCGCGGAGTCACGCGGGGTGCGGTG